GTTGATACGGCATCCCACTGGATGATAAGATGGAAGTTTTCTTGGAGGCGTTGTCGGTGTAATAAAAGCAGTGATCTGACAGAGATTCTCAAATGCCAGAAATTTGAAATAGAAAAAATACATCTTTGGAATTGTGTTTTTCATGAAAGATTGATAAAATAATTACAAACTATAATAAATAACTCACTTTTGCTAGTTAACAACAGAATGGTTGTCTGAGAAGTTGGGGGAGGGGACCTGGTTATGTAACATGGATGGGGATGTTTTGTGTGGTGATATAACAATAGTGTGGGGGTGAGAGAAGGATCGGCCTGGTGATATAACAAGGATAGTCTGGGGATGGGGAGTGAGGGTGGTGAGGGGGTGGGCGGTGGTGGTCTGATTTTACAATTATAGTTGTGGGGATCTGGTTATATAACAACTGTATGCACTTCTGTATCAGTGCAGATCTCTTTTCTTAAGGTGATAACATGCATTGCTCATGTTTTTATTCATATGCAAAATAATGCTGAATGTCTTTTGGTGTTTGGTTTTATGTACGGGTAGTGTCCAATATTCTTCTGTCTTAGTCCTTAATCAAGTGTCATACAGGTTTTAACACTAAGCTATACCTGAGGCAGATTAAAACCAGGGTGAAGTGAGAAGACAACCTGAATGCATATGTATTCATGTTTTTTGTACTTTTTTTTACTGTTATGAAAGTTAAACAAATTAAAGCACATGTAGAGCTACATTAGTTATGTTATATGTACTAGTTAAGGGTGGGGGCACATTTGTGATCAATCAAGGTCTCATATGTAATTAGTGATCGTTTTAGCATGCCACCTGTGTACAATGCTGCAGTGATGTCGAGTCTGGATCTTAGAGAAAGTGATTGCCACCATTACAGAATGAATTCTTTTGAAGATTTCGGGGTCAGGGTTCGACTATAGAAATTATTACCCAAAGCTATAATTATATTTTAAACATGGTACAGCGTGGATCTTTTAAAGTGCCTGGTAAAAATATAGTTCTGCAAATTATTATGGGAATTTCATAATTAGCTTATGAACATTTTTAACTGTAGGAAATATCAAAGATTTGTGTCTTAAAAATTAATATTCAAAATTCCAGAATTATCTTTTGATCACAAAGGTGCCAAAGAATGATTAGAGGGTCGTAAAAATGGATTTATTTGCTTTGAACTTGTTTGAATGTGTAATTATAAAGAATCGTTGAGATAGTCATGTGATTGATCAGAAAAGAAATGCATTCCTGTGCATGTCGATCATCATGTCGCTGAGCATTTGCTTTGTGTCACATAATTACGGAGTTATGTTGGGACATGTGACACACATGTATCTAATGCTTGTTGATGGTGGCAGAGCTGGCCACATCTAAAGTTTCTGCCTATAGTACAGTTGACACCAAACTGTATTTGTATTAGATAAGCATGTAATATGTGACACGCCCTTGACCTCTTATTGATATCAATGGACTACAAAGTCTGGAAAAAATTAAGATGTCTACTCCTCTCTAACTCTCTTTTCCTGAACCATTACTCAGAAATTCAGTGTTAATAATCAAAGTAGTCAGCAACTTTCTTCCTTTTTCATTCTTATTTCTGTCCTCTTTTTTCAGTCTTTGATAACATTGGTCTATTTAACCTCAGGTGAACGTCGAATGACATGTGGTTCTGTGATCCCTACCCATGGTGGTTTGTGTTCCTCATGAAGCTGAGTAACAGATTGGTCTCTTTAAACAGACCTTTACTTTCCCCATAGTTTTTATTTACTTTTTTTTAATCTTTCTTTCCATTCTCTGCCATCTTAGATTCTTTATCTTTTTTAAACTTTCTTTGTCATTTTCTGTTTTTTTTTCTTTCTTTCATTCATTTCTTTATATTCTCTTTGTTTTCTTTCTCAAATACCCTTCTTTTCAGTTACGTAATTATTCTATCCTTCAACAGATCATTTTTCTTTCCTTCATAATCCGCCTATTTCCTGCTTGACTATTTTTCTTTCCATTCTCTTTTTTTTTCTTTCATATTCTTATTTCTTTCATTTCTTTAATTTCTCTGATTTTCATTTTTTTTCTTCATCCTCTTAAATGCTTTTTTTCTTCTTTCTATCCAATCGCCATTAACTTATTTTACCATCTCTCTCATCTTCTTAATATTCTTAAAACAAAGAAAATCATTTGGATTCTGCTATTTTGTACTGTTTAACAGATTGATTAATCTGTCTAACCATGAATTCATTTAGGCAGACAGGAAATTAGTTATAAAATGTAATGTAGGTACGGAGCTATCATACTAAAACTTAAGCTAAACCACTAACACAAGGCTGGTATGAAAAAAAGGGTTTGAAGAAAATTGCTTTCACATGAATCCTCCGCTATAAATTTGGCTATTTACACATTAGGGCTGTTTTTGAAGGTTGTACAATATAGCTTTATAATGATGGTTTTCACACAGTTTTGAATCTGTCAAGAGGTTTGCTGAAATATTTCAAATAGTCCACTTTCGTTTAAGAGGTGAAGTACAGCCGTCTGCCAGGCATAGGAATTTAGTCTGTTTTATGAACGTATCTTTTATGATTTTAACAGAAGGTTGATTTCTACGTTTGTTAACTCTAACAGATCTGATAAACAGCTATTACCTCCGCTATCAGTTTCTGTGAAATCCTATATTTTCGTGGGTCTCAAATTTCGTGTTTTTTTTAAAAATAAGCATTTTTCATGAAATCAGTTTTATAATTGCACATGTGTGCCATTTTATGGACAGACAAAAAATTTGTGGATAAATTTACCATCTACCAGGGCAGTACGGGGAGGATGGGAGGAACATGTTGTTTGAAGTGACCCCCTACCTTTTCACATCCATTCGGGGAATCAAATCTTAGACGCATCAGTGAAAGGCGAGTGAGTTACCACCGCATCACTCTGGAAAAGTTTAAGCTGTATATTGGAAAAATTTTGTCGCCATTTAATTTTCACCCATTTTGTCTGTAAACAGGGAGGATGAATTTAAGATGAAGATGATAATTTGTTAAACTGATGTAACCCTTTTATATACTCCTCAGAAGATGAAATGAACCTAAGTGAATTCATGCATAATAGTACAAGGGTGAAATGAACCTAAGTGAATTCATGCTTAATAGTACAAGGGTGAAATGAACCTAAGTGAATTCATGCTTAATAGTACAAGGGTGAAATGAACCTAAGTGAATTCATGTATAGTAGAACAAGGGTGAAATGAACCTAAGTGAATTCATGTATAGTAGAACAAGGGTGAAATGAACCTAAGTGAATTCATGTATAGTAGAACAAGGGTGAAATGAACCAAAGTGAATTCATGCATAATAGTACAAGGGTGAAATGAACCTAAGTGAATTCATGTATAGTAGAACAAGGGTGAAATGAACCTAAGTGAATTCATGTATAGTAGAACAAGGGTGAAATGAACCTAAGTGAATTCATGTATAGTAGAACAAGGGTGAAATGAACCTAAGTGAATTCATGTATAGTAGAACAAGGGTGAAATGAACCAAAGTGAATTCATGTATAGTAGAACAAGGGTGAAATGAACCTAAGTGAATTCATGTATAGTAGAACAAGGGTGAAATGAACCTAAGTGAATTCATGTATAGTAGAACAAGGGTGAAATGAACCTAAGTGAATTCATGTATAGTAGAACAAGGGTGAAAATAACCTGGGGTGAAAATATCTCAATTAACAATATTGTAAAATTAGGATTCTATTTTAATTGGATTTATGAATATTCTTGATCGGCAAAGTTATATCTCTACAAAATAATTTATGTTCTCTACAAAATGTTTTATGTTGTCTACAAAGTGTTTTATGTTGTCTACAAAATGTTTTATGTTGTCTACAAAATGTTTTATTATGTCGAATGTCTGTTAATTCGTGAAATCACAGATCAAGGAGATACTTTTTAGAAACAAGTAGTAAATAAATAAAATTTTGAGCCGCATGAACATTAAACAGTACAATACAGCGGTTAGTATTTAATATTTACAAAGTGACCAACACATTTACATAGATAATAAGTAATGGACTTTTACATGATAATGAAATAACTTTTTTCATTATTTCCACTGAACAGTTACAGATATGTGGGTGGGCTTATTAGCTAACAGGGAATTTTTATCACAATAGTATGACAGTTTACTTACTCCGAAATCTTTATTTTAGCCAGAAGCATAAGTTCAGTGTTTGTGGTTCATGCCTCATCATCAGTTGATTTCTATAGATTTGGTGTCATACTTGTATTTGGAAATATCGGTGTACATTTTAGAGAAATCTTTATATAAAAGGTAATCAGATTAAGTTCAGGTTAAGTCCATGGTATCTTATAATGCATGGAGTTATACATAGGAAGTTTGAACTAATAAGTGTCAAATTTCAGGTAGGAATGATGATTACTTGTGCCAGATGACCTCTGATGAGTGAACTTCTGCTTTTAAAAATGTCCTCTGATGAATGACTTTTTAAAAGACAACTTCTTGTGAATGACCTTTTGTATTGGCAAAATGACCTCTGATAAATGACCTTGTACATTAACAGTATATGACAAAATAACTTTGGTTTGTACTATTGGAATTTGATAAATGACCCCTGAATCTTTTGTTTTTACATATGACCTCTAATAAATGACCTCTAATGAATGACTTTTTTACAGATGACCTCTGATAAATGACATTTGATGGGTGACCTTTTGTTTTCGCAGATGACCTCTGATGGGGAACTTTTGTTTTTACAGATGACCTCTGATGGGTGACCTTTTGTTTTCACAGATGACCTCTGATGGGCGAACTTTTGTTTTTACAGATGACCTCAGATGGATGACCTTTTGTTTTCACAGATGACCCCTGATGGCCTTTGATAGGTGACCCTTTGTTTTTACAGATAGCCTCTGATAAATGACCTCTAATGGATGACCTTTTGTTTTTACAGATGACCTCTGATAAATGACCTCTGTTGACCTTTTGTTTTTACAGATGCGGTAGCCCCATATGTTCTGGCATTTGACGACATCATTAAGGGAGAATTTGCCAATTTCAAGTCAATCAGTGCCAAGATTGGAGGAGACGTGCAAGTTCTGGTGAGTCATTCTACCAGTATCAGAAAATTTAGTCAATGACCTTTTCAGAAAAAGGTCAACATAGTAATGACCTTTTATGCATGATTGACATGCAAAATGGCATTACAGCATGACTTGTAACATTTTTTTGATGATTTCCACGTGTTGATGTTTTAATGAAAGCTTCTTTGTATACAGATCAGAATGCGATTGGTTTATTGAGTCTGTGTAGGTCGTTAAATTCAATACATTTTATTTTTGTCTATTTCTAATGATGGAATGAAATTGCAAACAAACAGATACTACTGAAATAGACAATATTGAGAAAACAACAATTTATTTATTGACTTACTGTAAAATCATAAATTTTTGTGAGACTCAACTTTTTCAAAAAATGGCTATTCCGTGAACACTTGATATAATTCAATAAATTGACTTACACTATATAAGTTTGTGGTGGATGAATTAGAAGACAAAGAGGATTCAGGACATCTAAAAAAAAACTATCATGAAAATAAATGTTATTGTGAGAGCTCTTCAGTCTTTTAATGAAATTTTTTTTTTTTTTAAATGAATTGCTAGAAAAACAAAACATAACTTCAGGGTACTCAGAAAAACAAAACAAAATCTTGGGAGTACTCAGAAAATGTGTTCTGACATTCGGGTAAGTTATAATTTGTAAGATGTAAAGAGCTATTCACACCGAACATTATCCCAATAATTTATCAAAATCATTCAAAAAACCCTGTCAATATGGGTAGGATTCCAACTTGTGTCACTGTTACAGACCTCCCTGAAATAATCACCTGTTTTTTCCCGGTCAGGTAGCTCTGTCAGACAACAGTAGACAATAACTATAGGCCAATTTTTGACTGAATTGATAATGGATGACTACTTTGTTAAACATAAGAGTTGTGTACTTTTAACATGTGTTATTTCGTGTGTAAGACACTGTCAGTGTTTTGGTGCTAAGGTGCTAATCACTTTAAGTATGATCTTTTGATAAAATACACAGCTAAAATATCTACCGAGTGGTCCTTTTTTTGTAAGATTTCTATTGTTTAAAAGACACGAGCCAGAAGTTTGTTTGTGACAATGTTTTTTTAAATGAAAGTTGTTTATATAGAACAGTTGAGAGAGTACAAATAGTCTATGTCTGTCAGAAGTAGTACTCTGTTCTAGTATGTGAAATAACACATTTGTCAATAAGCTCATTCTTGATCATAAGCCCACCGATGTCTATTACAGTTTTGTAAAATTGATAAAAAAATCATTTACCGATGCCCTACAATAAGCCTGCATCCTACTTTGAGTCAGAATTATGTCTTAACCCGTCTGGGCTTATAACAGGATCAGAAAAAGATTAGGGAATATTATCTACACCTGATCTGTTTTATTCCTAATATACAAAAATATTTTAATTAAGTTATACTGTACAATCACATATCTTTCGTGGAATTAGAATTTTGTTGATTTCATGAGTAAATCTTGTTCATTTTCATGTTCGTCTTTTTGCGGACATATAAATTTGTGGATAAAAAATGTAACAACAATTTCAACAAAAAATAAACCCTCCACAGTAATTTTAGATTTGTTACATTTGTTTTTATCGAAAAAATTGGACATTTCTATGGGAAATTCTTGCTCAACTTTTTTGTGATTTGCTGTGAAATAATTATGAAGTGTAAATCCAATATGGCAACACTGCAGATTCCTCGACAATACAGTGATGATTTTTTTTTTTTTTCAAACGTGGGGAATTTTAAAACTTAATTATTTTTGTATAGATTTAGGAGTTACCATAATATAGCGAAGAGTTTTTACAGACAAGATGTTGTCAAAATGGATTATTTCCAGACTGTTATCAAGGCACTGGACCCATAGACTTAGTCGATAAATTATTCAGCCGATATGTTTCAGATATCGTGAATAAATCGGGGTTTCGTGACAATTTAGCACATCATTTCTAAGTCAGCATTAGATCTAATGGCTAGATGGATATCTCAGTACTCATAACCTTATAATGTTGTTTTACAACTGATATTTCAGATGTCGGAATAGATTCTGCTTCAGAATGATGCAGTTATTGAATTTTATGTTGTTGACATAGAATTTATTGTGATAATAGAAGTACCAGTACTTTTACATGGAATTAATAGCTTTGTCTGTAATATTTAAAACATTTTATTTTTCATTTATGATGTAAATATTAATAATTTTGGTGGCCTATACATATATACTAGATGAATTCTTCTTTAAGGAAAATCACTTCAGGATATTATGTTTTTATAGAGTTATGGCCCTTGAAATGAAAATTTTTTAAGTAATCATTAGTTTATGTTATTAACTAAAGATTAACTTTACAGGGGCAACCAATAACTGACACAGTCTGATGACATCAAAAACAACTCCAATCATTTCTCATTATTTGCTGGTGGAAACATTCTGTCACATCAATGGCCACATATCCATTTAATTACATATCAGATTTTATGAAATAGGATTAATAGATGCATTTTAATTTTAAAAGTTGATATCTGTATATATTGTTTATCTGGAGTGAGTGTAGTATATAGTGTTTATCTGGAGTGAGTATAGTATATAGTGTTTATCTGGAGTAAGTGTAGTATATGTTGTTTATCTGGAGTAAGTGTAGTATATAGTGTTTATCTGGAGTGTAGTATATAGTGTTTATCTGGAGTGAGTGTAGTATATATTGTTTATCTGGAGTGAGTGTAGTATATAGTGTTTATCTGGAGTAAGTGTAGTATATAGTGTTTATCTGGAGTGTAGTATATAGTGTTTATCTGGAGTGTAGTATATAGTGTTTATCTGGAGTGAGTGTAGTATATAGTGTTTATCTGGAGTAAGTGTAGTATATAGTGTTTATCTGGAGTGAGTGTAGTATATAGTGTTTATCTGGAGTGAGTGTAGTATATAGTGTTTATCTGGAGTGAGTGTAGTATATAGTGTTTATCTGGAGTGTAGTATATAGTGTTTATCTGGAGTGAGTGTAGTATATAGTGTTTATCTGGAGTGTAGTATATAGTGTTTATCTGGAGTAAGTGTAGTATATAGTGTTTATCTGGAGTGTAGTATATAGTGTTTATCTGGAGTGTAGTATATAGTGTTTATCTGGAGTGAGTGTAGTATATAGTGTTTATCTGGAGTGAGTGTAGTATATAGTGTTTATCTGGAGTGTAGTATATAGTGTTTATCTGGAGTGAGTGTAGTATATAGTGTTTATCTGGAGTGTAGTATATAGTGTTTATCTGGAGTAAGTGTAGTATATAGTGTTTATCTGGAGTGAGTGTAGTATATAGTGTTTATCTGGAGTGAGTGTAGTATATAGTGTTTATCTGGAGTAAGTGTAGTATATAGTGTTTATCTGGAGTGTAGTATATAGTGTTTATCTGGAGTGAGTGTAGTATATAGTGTTTATCTGGAGTAAGTGTAGTATATGTTGTTTATCTGGAGTGAGTGTAGTATATAGTGTTTATCTGGAGTGTAGTATATGTTGTTTATCTGGAGTGAGTGTAGTATATAGTGTTTATCTGGAGTGAGTGTAGTATATAGTGTTTATCTGGAGTGTAGTATATAGTGTTTATCTGGAGTAAGTGTAGTATATAGTGTTTATCTGGAGTAAGTGTAGTATATAGTGTTTATCTGGAGTGTAGTATATAGTGTTTATCTGGAGTAAGTGTAGTATATAGTGTTTATCTGGAGTGAGTGTAGTATATAGTGTTTATCTGGAGTGTAGTATATAGTGTTTATCTGGAGTAAGTGTAGTATATAGTGTTTATCTGGAGTGAGTGTAGTATATAGTGTTTATCTGGAGTGTAGTATATAGTGTTTATCTGGAGTGAGTGTAGTATATAGTGTTTATCTGGAGTGTAGTATATAGTGTTTATCTGGAGTGTAGTATATAGTGTTTATCTGGAGTGAGTGTAGTATATAGTGTTTATCTGGAGTGAGTGTAGTATATAGTGTTTATCTGGAGTGAGTGTAGTATATGTTGTTTATCTGGAGTAAGTGTAGTATATGTTGTTTATCTGGAGTGAGTGTAGTATATGTTGTTTATCTGGAGTGAGTGTAGTATATAGTGTTTATCTGGAGTGAGTGTAGTATATATTGTTTATCTGGAGTGAGTGTAGTATATAGTGTTTATCTGGAGTGAGTGTAGTATATAGTGTTTATCTGGAGTGTAGTATATAGTGTTTATCTGGAGTGTAGTATATGTTGTTTATCTGGAGTGAGTGTAGTATATAGTGTTTATCTGGAGTGAGTGTAGTATATGTTGTTTATCTGGAGTGAGTGTAGTATATGTTGTTTATCTGGAGTGAGTGTAGTATATAGTGTTTATCTGGAGTGAGTGTAGTATATAGTGTTTATCTGGAGTGTAGTATATAGTGTTTATCTGGAGTGAGTGTAGTATATGTTGTTTATCTGGAGTGAGTGTAGTATATGTTGTTTATCTGGAGTGAGTGTAGTATATAGTGTTTATCTGGAGTGAGTGTAGTATATAGTGTTTATCTGGAGTGTAGTATATAGTGTTTATCTGGAGTGAGTGTAGTATATGTTGTTTATCTGGAGTGAGTGTAGTGTATAGTGTTTATCTGGAGTGAGTGTAGTATATAGTGTTTATCTGGAGTGAGTGTAGTATATAGTGTTTATCTGGAATGTAGTATATAGTGTTTATCTGGAGTGAGTGTAGTATATAGTGTTTATCTGGAGTGAGTGTAGTATATAGTGTTTATCTGGAGTGAGTGTAGTATATAGTGTTTATCTGGAGTGTAGTATATAGTGTTTATCTGGAGTGTAGTATATGTTGTTTATCTGGAGTGAGTGTAGTATATAGTGTTTATCTGGAGTGAGTGTAGTATATGTTGTTTATCTGGAGTGAGTGTAGTATATGTTGTTTATCTGGAGTGAGTGTAGTATATAGTGTTTATCTGGAGTGAGTGTAGTATATAGTGTTTATCTAGAGTGTAGTATATAGTGTTTATCTGGAGTGAGTGTAGTATATAGTGTTTATCTGGAGTGAGTGTAGTATATAGTGTTTATCTGGAGTGTAGTATATAGTGTTTATCTGGAGTGAGTGTAGTATATGTTGTTTATCTGGAGTGAGTGTAGTATATGTTGTTTATCTGGAGTGAGTGTAGTATATAGTGTTTATCTGGAGTGAGTGTAGTATATAGTGTTTATCTGGAGTGTAGTATATAGTGTTTATCTGGAGTGAGTGTAGTATATGTTGTTTATCTGGAGTGAGTGTAGTGTATAGTGTTTATCTGGAGTGAGTGTAGTATATAGTGTTTATCTGGAGTGAGTGTAGTATATAGTGTTTATCTGGAATGTAGTATATAGTGTTTATCTGGAGTGAGTGTAGTATATAGTGTTTATCTGGAGTGAGTGTAGTATATAGTGTTTATCTGGAGTGAGTGTAGTATATAGTGTTTATCTGGAGTGTAGTATATAGTGTTTATCTGGAGTGTAGTATATGTTGTTTATCTGGAGTGAGTGTAGTATATAGTGTTTATCTGGAGTGAGTGTAGTATATGTTGTTTATCTGGAGTGAGTGTAGTATATGTTGTTTATCTGGAGTGAGTGTAGTATATAGTGTTTATCTGGAGTGAGTGTAGTATATAGTGTTTATCTAGAGTGTAGTATATAGTGTTTATCTGGAGTGAGTGTAGTATATAGTGTTTATCTGGAGTGAGTGTAGTATATAGTGTTTATCTGGAGTGTAGTATATAGTGTTTATCTGGAGTGAGTGTAGTATATGTTGTTTATCTGGAGTGAGTGTAGTATATGTTGTTTATCTGGAGTGACTGTAGTATTTGTAAATCTACAAAGCATTTTATTGTGAATATTTATTAAATGTGAGGATGAAGATTCTGATAAATGGTGGATAAAAAAGTTAGGATAACCTCACTGTGACCTTCCAGATTTTCTTTTTTTTTTTTTTAGTCAGGAAATATATACTTATATTACACATACTAGTCAACAAATTCAATGAATACTGTAAGTGCCCGTAGTTGTTTTTTTCTTTTAGTTAAGTTGTTTTATGTAAAAGTTTGTGATGTCCAATTTCTGTCACCTTATGGATATGACTTCCCGATGTTGACATCCCATTAAGCACAGATTATACTCGATCTACAAGCCTTGTTCATGTTTCATTCCAGTCTTAATCATTCAACTACATACTTCCATAGCTTCTCGGGTTTCTGTGTGCTCAAATTTTTTTGGACAGTTTTTTTTTAACAAAGACTGACGTCGTCAATTGGTCTAAAGTATTGCATTGTCCCACTGATCTGAACATGAGTTAAAAAATTTTCATGTTTTTTCTAAGGTACCAGTTGGTATATATCTGAATTCAAAAAAATCTTTTTGTGTTCTTAAAAATTTTTAAGCCATATGACCAATTTAAATTTCAACATGTTTTGTGTATGTGTAAGGAATGTCATCTCGAGGAAATTTGGACCAAATCATTTTAGACGGAGACCGATATTCTACTCACTAAGTGATATTTGATTACCATTATCCTGGTACCCTTTGACCCGTTCATACTTACAAAAATAATTTACAGTAGATTTTATTGTGTTTAGAAAATCAATTTACGAAGCCTCGACATTCAACTGGAATTGTATAATAACCTTTCCAATTAACCCTTCTACACGAAAAACAATATGAATGATTACAATCTTGTCTACAGCTTTAATTTATTTCTGACCTTAAACCCCTCTAACAACCTGATAAGGCTATTCCGTTCTTTGTATCAGACCAGTTCATAATGTTTTTAGGGATGACAGCATAGGGAGGTGATCATCCTAATCAATTTCTAATTGTTTTAAAAGTCAAGACTTTCACGGATTATGTTCCTTCTAATTATAAAAGGACTTATACCATCATTTAAACCTGTTGAAATAGCTCTGCAGAGAACAAAAAAAGTTAATTTCTTTGTCTGTTATGTATGTTCGGGTGGACAACACTATCAAATTCATTTCTTTGACCAGAAATCTATAAAGGAATGGAAATATTTCAAAATTTTAGAAGAAACATTTTCTTGATGAGCAGGTCCTGTTTATCCAATGCAAGTAGAAAATTTTTATTGCATACCAGCTTAATATGGTAAATGGTCTGTAGTTTTGCATGCATAGCAGTGTCATTTATATTAGCTATAAATGCCATATCACAATAGTTAGGTCATTATGTACAACAATTCTTCACACTTCTCACCGTTTTATGTATACTTAACACTGTTTTTTTTACTCAAGATGTGGTTCATTAGATGGAACAGCCATATTAATGTGTGTACTTACTATGAATGACAAGTATTTCACTGGAGGTGTGGTTATTACATAGAGCAGCCATATTAATCGGTCAGTACACAGCTTACTCAAAGTCAGGGAGGTGGGCTTATTACAGAACCCCAAAGGGTCAGCACACAACTTACTCAAAGTCAAGGGTTGGGCTCATAACTGGACATGAAATAGCATTGGCTTGTACGCCTACTGAACAGCAATAAACATGAGTGGGCTTATTACCAGACATGTACAGAAGAAACACTTTATACTATATAACTTTTGCTATGTTGTGTGTACTTACAGTGTGACTCCATAACAAAGGCATTCGAAAACCAGAGGGCATTCCTCAACATGGCCTCCAAGTGTAAAGAGCCCACTGATAAGGTAAGTGCTCCTAATTTGCGATCTTAATCTTGACAACAAAAAATATCATAGATAAATAATGGATATAGACCGATGGGAGCCTTGATGGCTCAGTCAGTTAGTGTTGGTTTATATACTTAGATCCTTACTGACACTGCCTTCTCATAGCATTTTGCGATGGGCCTCCTGTATGTTATTCAGTTAGGAAACCACCGACAACTACAAGGACCGGAGCTCAAATTGACACTTTTTATGGGGCAATAAACCTAGCAAAATAAAGTCATCTCCTTTTCTTGTCATTTCTTCAATCAATCCATTTCTTCTACCTTTCTCTTCTACCTTTACTCCTCATCATCTGTCATCTTCATATACTCCTCATCACCTGTCATCTTCCTATACTCCTCATCATCTGTCATCTTCATATACTCCTCATCACCTGTCATCTTCCTATACTCCTCATCACCTGTCATCTTCTTTCTTTCCTCCTCATCACCTGTCATCTTCTTTCTTTCCTCATCACCTGTCATTGTCTTTCTTTCCTCTTCATCACCTGTCATCTTCTTCCTATACTCCTCATCACCTGTCATCTTCTTTCTTTCCTCCTCATCACCTGTCATCTTCTTTCTTTCCACCTCACCTGTCATTTTCTTTCTTTCCTCCTCATCACCTGTAATTGTCTTTCTTTCCTCTTCATCACCTGTCATCTTCTTTCTTTCCTCATCACCTGTCATTGTCTTTCTTTCCTCCTCATCACCTGTCATCTTCTTTCTTTCCTCATCACCTGTCATTTTCTTTCTTTCCTCCTCATCACCTGTCATCTTCTTTCTTTCCTCCTCATCACCTGTCATCTTCTTTCTTTCCTCATCACCTGTCATTTTCTTTCTTTCCTCCTCATCACCTGTCATCTTCTTTCTTTCCTCATCACCTGTCATTGTCTTTCTTTCCTCCTCATCACCTGTCATCTTCTTTCTTTCCTCATCACCTGTCATTTTCTTTCTTTCCTCCTCATCACCTGTCATTTTCTTTCTTTCCTCCTCATCACCTGTCATCTTCTTTCTTTCCTCCTCATCACCTGTAATTGTCTTTCTTTCCTCTTCATCACCTGTCATCTTCTTTCTTTCCTCATCACCTGTCATTGTCTTTCTTTCCTCCTCATCACCTGTCATCTTCTTTCTTTCCTCATCACCTGTCATTTTCTTTCTTTCCTCCTCATCACCTGTCATCTTCTTTCTTTCCTCCTCATCACCTGTCATCTTCTTTCTTTCCTCATCACCTGTCATTTTCTTTCTTTCCTCCTCATCACCTGTCATCTTCTTTCTTTCCTCCTCATCACCTGTCATCTTCTTTCTTTCCTCATCACCTGTCATTGTCTTTCTTTCCTCCTCATCACCTGTCATCTTCTTTCTTTCCTCATCACCTGTCATTTTCTTTCTTTCCTCCTCATCACCTGTCATTTTCTTTCTTTCCTCCTCATCACCTGTCATCTTCTTTCTTTCCTCCTCATCACCTGTCATCTTCTTTCTTTCCTCCTCATCACCTGTTATCTTCTTTCTTTCCTCCTCATCACCTGTCATCTTCTTTCATTCCTCTTCTTCACTTGTTATCTCTTTTCTTTCCTCTTTTTTATCTGTCATCTCAATACTTTCCTCCTCTTCATCTTTTCTGTTCTTTTTGTCCTCCTCTTCATCTGTCTTCTTTTTGTCTTCCTCATGTCATCTTTTTTCTTTCTTCCCCAGCAAGAGATTTTAAACAATACGGATAAATTATTCCACTCTTTTTCTTGTATTGCAGACCAGGAACAAAAATATTAGAATTGAAGTAGACAGAAAACTGATTAGGATAGATGTGGACATGACAAGATAACTAAAAATAACCTTGTTGAAAATTAACTTTTTACATTTTTCTGTCCATCTAAAACACCATGTCAGTTATCAACAGGAAGGAAATTGCAGATTTTAGAACCAAACAAAACACTTTTATATTTAAATCACGACCTGTCACGTAAAGTGATTGACACATGTAAGGGAGATAATTTTCATTCTTGTCATTGAAAGTTTTGTGACTTGGAAGGTAATTATCAGAAGGACTCATCTTTTAAACCTATAGGTGTCAATGACATGTGTTAATCTGAATGAACGGCTTATTTCTTTGACATTTGATTGGCAGCTGAATGGAAATTTTAGACAGATCTTAAAATAGAAATAAAAATGAATGAAAAGAAAAATTGAAAATAAAAATTATGAAAGTTTATTTCAATATTTGATAATTTTTTCTGTAATTATTATAATTGTGATTAAATAATCTTTTCACTAAAGTCTGGGTAACTAACATTGATTCCAGTTTCAAACATAGAACTATTTTCCCATTTTATCCTATAAAACCTGTGTGTTTGACCACTTTGTGACCCTGGTCAGTACACATATGTTTCATCCCATTCTGTCGCTCAGTTGGTGATGTTTTATTAACATATTTTTCTGTGTCTTCTATTTTAACCATTCATTCTGTACATTTTCCTTAAAGTTCAAAAAAAAATGTTATTGAGAAAAAACTAAAAAATCTTAAATTGCACCATGTTTGACTTTAAAAGTTGTTATGAAGTGTAATTTGCCCATCATATGCTTACTAGACCAAATCACTGAAATGTTTAGATTGAAAAGCTTCTTTAAAGAATACCCATGTAATTTTTTAAAAGTACAGTAAAAATAATCATATGTTTTCGTATAATGGAATGTCTTTTAATTACGTTTCTGTGTTTAGAAATATGAGGGAGTGGAAGAAAGGTGTTTAGATCTGTTCTATATAGCTCTCACGTGACCTCTGAAAGTGCACAAAAATTTGGCGATTTTTTTTTTTTTATGGTTTTAAGTACCCAGTATAAGTGAAAATAAACTTGTTTTTTAGTGTGTAAAACAAATTATATCATACAAACGGGCTGCAGCAAATCAACCAAGATGGCACATTGATGACTGATGTTTCGAAATAAGGTCATGTGATCTCCAGTTTCCTCGGAGTTTTATGACCAAATTATCAGGTGTTTTGACTTTTAACGCAGTAGTATGTGTGATAGATATCTGTAATGGTATAAAAGTCCAATCGTAGTCATTAATAATTGTGATATGTCATGATACAGGTTAGACCCATTTCATGTCCATTTCCTGTTTAAGTTTTACCGAAGATCTCAAAATAAAGAAGAACTTTTACGATGATTTAATCACAAACTGTTATGGTTTATAAATTAATAGAAGGCTCTTATATTCTACTTTCTGTGTCAAATGACTGTGTGTCTCTGTGTTAAAGTGTGGGTGAACCAAGTCGATGTTAGGATGAGAAATCAGAATTGATGTTTAATAAATCCATTAATTTATACATAACTGTTTATAACACTGATCAGGAGAACTAAATATACAACATTTTTATAGTTATTCATAAAGTGAATTACCTACAATATTTGTATATTTTTACTTACGTGTAAAGGTGAATGAAAAATACATCATTTTGTATAGCAGTGTTGTAAACTCAAGATTACTATAAAAAAAACTTTATACTTCACTTGGGACTTTGTTTTCACATGAATACGTGAAGAGAGTCAATCGCAAATTCAAATCCCTCACAATTATCTGAGTCTTATTGAGTCCTTGTCTCTAATAGCTCATCGTTCACAAATTTAAAGTCATTTCTAGATCAGCAATTGTAAAATCATGTATAAACCATGTACTTGTTAAATCTATGTATGTTACAGTACCTCAATTGTGATTGGATAATTTTGTTTACTTTTGATGGTGAGGAAATCTTTGTTTATTCATGGTGTGATATTCTTATTCATGGTTACAGACTTTACTGGCAAAGCTACTGCAGCCTATGTCACAGTGCATACAACAGATTATGGTAAGTACTGTTCATAGACATTGCCGACTAAGAAATTTTAAAGATCAATTGTCACAATGAAAATTCAACAAAATAATCATCAGTTCCAAATTTATGTAATTTTTGGAATCATCTGGTATAAGACATATAAGATCAAGATAATGGTACAGAACCTGTCATCCATGCATAGTAAATGGCATTTGTAACTTCTTCTTCCGAACTATAATTCCAAAGAGTCAATGGTACTTTGTATATATAGGGTAGTCTGCTGGTTATCTGATAACTAATTTCATATTGGATAAAAAAGATGATATTTAAAAAAGAGAGGATCTTACCTGAGAGCCAACATAATAGAGAGTAAATATAATGAGTTTGAATTATTAAATGAGTTTAATAAATTTCATATTACAATGGTTCTAGTATAAGATTCTGTTTATCAGATATCCTGAATTTCTGAAAAGCAAGCAAAAACTTGTGTATTTTTTTCCCTATATGACAGAGATATTTTGACAGTACATTTTTCGCTTGCGAGGCAATCATGTGAAGTCTACAAGACACAACTTATTTATGATGTCACCATAGTCATATTCCATGTGTAGCATTATGATAATGAAGACACAACATGCCAGTTTTATGATAATTTTTTTATTTTTGTTCGGGTGACTTTTCTTAAAAGTGCACAAAATCAATGTTTATTATTGACAGGCTAATATCAAAATATAATGTTAAAGCGATAAGGAGTTTTAGTGTTGATTTGAATTGCATCAGACTTCAATAACGATCCTTGGTTCAAAGGGCTTAAAACTGATGTTATATAGACGCCACTGTTACAGCAAGTCGTTATTTGTTTCGTATGAAGAAGATTCGAAAATCTTTTAAAGTATAGATTATTTCCATACTACACATCGTAATTTAAGTGTGAATAGCACTTTTGAATGGACATTAAAATTCACCTTGTAATGAAACATTGACGGAGGTTTCTGGATATTTGATAATGCTGTGGTTTTGAAAATAAAACGTAGATTGAATAATTGCTTCACCAAGTTATGCTGTGTTGAGTATTGGCCTTAATTTGTTTAATGTTCGATAAATATATAATCTTAATAGAGTATGTATGGTTGATAGACTCTAGTCATTACAGCCACAGATCCTTTCAATTTTAAGTGTTAACTCAATACCAAACTTGCATTACTTCAAATATATTATTATCAAAAAAAGCAATCTTTGAAGGGATTTCATCAGAACATGAATTCCTGAAGATTTGAAACTTCATATTTTATGGCATTTTTTGTTTTGTTTACTCAATCTTGTAGTTGATATTGAAGAATCTTTGTTCATTTTGGAAAAAAAAAAGAAAAAAACATCTGTGGTATTTGATGTCTGATATATTTTATGTTAGAAGGGAAACAACTCCTTGTGAATTTTTGCACTGTTTTGAAGGGTTTTTTTACTTTAAAAGTTGTAGACATATTTGTATAATAGTTCTTTTTGATGTGAGGATAGTTTTAATAAGTGTTATTTCTAGCTTTAAATATATAATATGTATAAAACATTCATTTTGATATCTTGTGTCTGTTTTGTCAATAGATTTCATGAAGATGATACTAATTCTGACAACGTTTTTACAGGAGTTCCGTGAAAGTAAGAGACAGAGCCCATTGATCAACCATCTGTCCACTGTTAGTGAATCTGTCCCTGGATTTGGCTGGATCTCTGTGGTAAGTCTTCCTCAGACCTGTTGCTAATGCGACTGTTATTTGTATGTAGATTAATTTTAAGGCTGAATATAATTAATTAGGGTGTTGGTGAGGTGTAAGTAAATTTATTTCTGTTAAATTATGTTGTCTCGTTTCCAGGCTCCGACCCCAGGCCCTTACCTTAAGGACTTTATGGATGCTGGTATGTTCTACTCCAATCGCATCCTAAAGGAATTCAAAGACAAGTAAGTCAGTTACTGCATTTCTTGTCCAGTGAACTAAGTGTCCAGTTTTTTCAAAGTTTTTTGTCCTGAAAACCAGAGTATCAAGTTTGCCAAGGTCATTTGTCCTGTAACCAAAGTATCAAGTTTATCAAGGTCATTTGTCCTGAAACCAGAGTATCAAGTTTATCCAGGTCACTTGTCCTGTGACCTAGGTATCAAGGTCATTTGTCCTGTAACCAAAGTATCAAGTTTATCCAGGTCACTTGTCCTGTGACCTAGGTATCAAGGTCATTTGTCCTGTAACCAAAGTATCAAGTTTATCCAGGTCACTTGTCCTGTGACCTAGGTATCAAGGTCATTTGTCCTGTAACCAAAGTATCAAGTTTATCAAGGTCATTTGTCCTGAAACCAGAGTATCAGGTTTATCAAGGTCATTTGTCCTGTTACCCAGGTATCAAGGTCACTTGTCCTGTAACCAAAGTATCAAGTTTATCAAGGTCATTTGTCCTGTAACCAATGTATTAAGTTTATCAAGGTCATTTGTCCTGTGACCTATGTATCAAGGACATTTGTCCTGTAAACAAAGTATCAAGTTTATCAAGGTCATTTGTCCTATTATCTAGGTATCAAGGTCATTTGTCCTATTACCTAGGTATCAAGGTCATTGTCCTGAAACCAGAGTATCAAGTTTATCAAGGTCATTTGTCCTATTACCTAGGTATCAAGGTCATTTGTCCTGTAACCGAAGTATCAAGTTTATCAATGTAATTTGTTCTGTAACCAAAGTATCAAGTTTATCAAGGTCATTTGTCCTGTGACCTAAGTGTCAAATTTATCCCTGCTGTTTGACCTCTGACCTTAGTGTCGAGTTTAAATTTGACTTTTGACTAATGATATGAGTGTCAAGCATATATCTCCGTTTGACCTGTGACCCTAATGTCAAGTTTATCCTTGACCTTTGACCAGTAATTTGATTGTCGAGCGTATCTATGTCCTTTTGAACTGTGACGTCAGTGTCAAGTTTAAACCTGACCTTTGATTCATGGCTTGAGTGCCAAACATATCTATATACTATTTACCTGTGTCTTAAGTACAATACTTGCTAATACCTGGGTAGGAAAATTGTATAAAATAAATTAAAAAATCCTACTTGTTGAATTACATCGTTAACTGAATCTGGATCACAACTTACTACAGAAAAGACATCACAGAGAAAAGTATTTCATATTCAAGTTTGTTATTTTTTTAAAGTGAATTTTGTTTGCATAGAAGTGCTGGTATTAAATTAGTAAATGATAGGATTTCTTACTCATAACAATTAATTTAAGTATGACAGCCTTCAGAACTACAAGGCCCTTTATCTAAGTTACTGTTCAGAAACAAGGGTAGATAAATCACACCTTCACCGTAATCTGCTGTTTATGATAACGGTAGTATGATAGTGGAACAACGCCATGTTACGACGGAAAGAAATTACAAAACTTCTGTCAAACAATAAATTCAAGATGTCTGTAAAACAGGGTTCAGACACTAGAAAAAACTTGAATCTGCCAAAATGAATTTACTAAAACCATGTTTCAAATTTTCTCGCTAAAAAAATACTCAAAATCTGTCAAAATGATAAGGCGAGTAAAAAATGTTTCAAGTTGAGAAGACCTGACAGCAAGCTTTACAGGGATACCATCGCAGTCATCAACTGGCAACATGTGAAAAGAAAGGTTCCACCTTCAAATTACATTATTACAAATTCATGTCAGTTCTCCAAACATATAAGTGATTTTGAAGTGTTTATGGTCAGTGTGGCTTAGAGGCTTGACATAAGGAAATACTTCATACTTCTATCAGAGTCACATGTTCACAAAGCAGGGTTTGAATTGTCAGATTCTACAGTCTTAGAGTCATAAACTCGAGTGGCCTTGTAATTTTGAAATTTTTGTGTTCCAAAAAGAAAAACAAAATCTATTATTTGAAAGATAAGAAACCGTCCAATCACGGCATGATGAATTGCCATAGCTGTACGCATTCCCTATGTCAGTTATTTGTACCCATATAACTTCACTAAAAATACCAGAGTGTTTTGATTCACAAAATAGCATATACTTCAACCCGAGTGTAGTAATGAATATGGATGCAATTAACAGTTACTGCAAATGAAAAAACCCAAGATTGATCATCCAGCTGGCATGAAGTCAATAACATTTTCAGAATTTTATATTTGAGAGAGAGAGAGAGATTCGATGCTGGTGGACATAGAGCCATGAGCATCATTTTATCAGAGTGTTGAAAATATGTATGCAGATTTTTTTATTAGGTCATCTGACCCGAAGTGGGATTGAGCTTTAACTTGCATGAAATGGTCCTGACCAAGTGTTGTTATTTTTCTGGTCAGTCTGAAATCCAAGATGGCCTCCATCTTGAAGAACATATTTTAAACTTCTTCTCCAGTTCCACTGATACCATTGAGTTAAAAATTGGTGGGAATGTTAAGGAAAAGTAGCCAACAAAGTGTTGTTATTTTTCAAACTTCCAACTTCTTCCAAGTTTCACCAGTGAGATTGGGTTCCAGCTTTACTGTGGAACAAGTAGGTAACACTTGTTACAGTTCTCTACTCCTCACCAAAACTACAATCTATATCATGGAAAACAGTTTCTTTGTAAGATTTCTTTCAAAGTAGAATAATAAACCTTCTTCCTTCTGAAAGTTTTTGTAGTCAGGTGACCGTTTAGGGCCCATGGGCCTCTTGTTTATTTTATAAATAAAATCATCCTACTGTTTAAAAAAAGATAGTTGCAAGATGTAGAGAAAGGAATAAGTAATGAGTGTAATTATGAGAAATCTTAATGAAAACTTTTTATTACAAATCCCCCTTATTGAAGATTTAGTGACAGAAGAGGAGGATTTTTAGAGTATCATCCTGTAGACAGATTTGTTTTTTATAGAAATGGAATTGCTACGCTCCCCCCCCCCCCTTCCACCCCTCTGATGACATGTATTAAGACACCTGAAACTTATCATCAGTCTCTATGTTTGGGCTTATTTCTATCACGACATTGATTATTAGGTCAACATTTAAAATGTCAAAGGTCGTCTGTAGGTCATCTCTCGTTTGAAAAAAAAAAACTGCATAAATTAAGATTGGCAGTTTTTTTGTTTTATTTTTGTAATCACAGTTCAAATTGTCAGACACATGGTTTTCAAAGACTGAAAGGTTTGAAGATCACAAGCACTTTTATCGTGGAAAACTATGATTGATATGTTGTAAGTGCCAACATTTCAGGCCTGGTATGTTGTATTTTCAACAGCATTTATGTTTAGAAACTCAGAATTAGTGTAGTGTTGTCATTAGGAGTTGGTTGTATAAAGAGACCAGGCAGTTTTACTGTCATCAGGGACAATTCATTAAGCAACAGTTTTGTTATAGATGAGAGGAAAATGTTATTCTAGAAAGAAATAACATGAAAGGCAAACGATGAATTACTGCCATATCAGTCTTTTTCGACAACACATTTGAAAATGTGAAACAAATCAATATTCAATAGTTTAAATAAATTTTTTATTGTCAGCATATAATGTAATATATGATGTTTGTTATGATCCTCTGTACTTCTCTCCAGAAAATCTCATTACTAGAGTGTTTTCAGAATACCGTAATTCACTTGTAAACACCCTGTCCTCTAGCTGTCATACCCCAATAAAGTGAAGCAGACGGTATATACTTGAGACAAGTTGCTTAAATGTTTGCATGCTGAATTTTGTTGGGACAATTTCTAGTTTTCATTTTTCTTGGTACTTTTTAATCTACTGGATTAATTTTCCGCATTATAAGGCATACCTTTTTTCCTTATGAGTAGGGCGTGTGGCTTATATACCGAGGTGGCTTATATGTAGACAAAAAAAAAATGGCAGGATGAAAAAAAAGCAGGATACGTTTACACCAGTACAAGGACAAAATCGTTTTCATTTAATGATCGTGTATAGTATGGTTTTTACCTTGGTTTGGGGGATTATCACTAAATATTTTATCACTTTAGTTTGGCAAGATCGTTTTTTGAGAAATTCCATTAATCAATCTGGAAATAACTAATAGTGTCGTTAGTCCAGTAACATGAGGATATTGCAGAAAAAATTCTTTATGATCGTGATATTTCAGTACCCTTAAACTATAATATAAATATATAGTGTGGTCAGATGATCCAGTAGTAACACAATCATCTTTCTGACCCGTATGTCTGGAGGTCCATTCCTAAACAGGCATGGGAAGGTAAGAGGTCACTTTTCTGACAATGTGAGTTTTCTGTTTCCGGTTTCTCTGTTGTAAGATAGATAAAGGGTTTTTTTTTTTTTTTTGATGGATGGAACGATAATGATAGTAGACAAATCAGTTGTCAAAATTTTGAGGCAAGCCGACCCTTTTTCAAATATTATAAGTTACATCACATAACATATTTTCCTGCCTAGGTATATACCGTGCGTGATTATAAGTTGCAGGGCTGTTTTTAGCAATTTTTTCTGTTTGATCCACATATTAGACACACTAGAATATAAGCCACACCCTTTATAACGATGTGATAATTGTTATGTTGACCAAAGTTCGTGGAGATAACAGGCAACAGAAGCGAATTTATAAATAAAACTTGTCAGTGAAACATTTAATACAACTTTGTAAATTAATTATACACAGATAATCCATTTCATTGATGTGTTTCAAAAACAAAAAGTAGTAATTATAGAACTCGTTTGGTTTGGGAGCCTTCACAGAGTGTCTACGCATAGATATAGGGCCCGACATTACATATGGTTTACTTAACAATATCTCCATCGGTGTCTGTACTGTAAAATATTAGCGCAAAGGTCCTTGCATACTGACATGAAAATAAAACATTAAAAAAGGCAAAGTTATATATCATAGCCGAGAACAATATCAAATATTCTGATAATCCCTTCAGCCGATTAGATACCAACGACTCTTCGCAGCAATAAACTATCTTTTATAATCATTTTGACAAGGTCAATTGTGAAAATTCTTGTCCCAAGTTTAAAAACATCGATAATGTTAAAAAGATGACTTTGAAAACTGTTTGGCCAGGTGAGAATATGATCCTTCTGACCAGCTGGTCAAGACTTCATACTGAAGGCTATATGATTGAACTTTAAGTGCAGAACAAACATAAAACACAACAAATAGGTTTTACATTTGTTACATCTGCTTTTCATTATAAACTATATCATAACTATGCAGAAATTTCAATTCCAGCAGTTTTTTGGGGAAAAAACATGTTTTCTTTGTAAAACTTTTCTCAATAGGTGCTTTGCTGAGATTATCAAAGGTATTGTAATTCTAGGCACTGCAGGTATGATGGGGGGTGCTGTATCAGGATATTGGACTTCTTGTTAAAATATGGTTTCCATTTCAAATTCTCAATTCCTTCTCCAAATTCATACCGATTTCAGTGAAAGGTTCACTGGAAAGCACGTAAACACCAAACATTGTAGTTATTTTCCCAATATGCTTCTAATTTTGAAATTTGTATTTTGACAAAGCCTTTGTAACCATCAATAACTAGCTTGTAATTTTATCTGGCATTAGTTCCTAGTATAAACCATCAGCCCCTACTGGATACAAATTGAAACAATTTACTTCGACTTGAATTGTCGGCACCCCTTCGTTTAAACAGGGATTCCCCCCGTACATCATCAGTGCTAAAGTCGCTCAAAGATAGCTGAAAGGATTTACATGATAAATCTGTTTTAATGATGTTGCCGTGACTTCTCTAGCCTTGTTGCATGACGTCATACATTTGTCATGACTGGGGGACCCATTGCTTCACTAGGGTAGGGATATAATTTCTCGGTAAGTCAAGTGTGGATACACTGGGTCCAACCATCAGTCAGAAATGTGTCTTTGGTGAGTAATTCTGACAGACCTCAATTCTTTGCTCATGAAACGGATCTCTTAACCCTGACAGATTTCCTACCCATCCAAGATGTTTTCTTCAATATAAAATCTCCATTGCTAAATGTAAAAGTTTTAGCCCTAGATATCTTGTCAACATATTTATGTCCTATGTGGACCTTTCTGCCCTCAGCAGATTTTTTTTATCCCCCTTCAAAAAAATGGTATTTTCCATCCCCCTCTGACTTTTTTAACCTGAGTGAGTTTATAAAAGATTACATCAACCTTTTCTTTGTAGGGGTTTCCCTAGTCCCTGTAAATACATTTATGCCTTCTGTGTACATGGTACTGGGCTTTCCTGTTCCTAGTTGATGCCCCTTATAAAATTCTCTTACTGCAGATGTATTAGCTATCACCTGTTTGGGCTGGCTCTCTTTACAAGTTTCTCAGAACAAAACAGTGGGTTTTTTTCTACAGCTAAACAAAAGATAGCTTATACAGAATATATTATTCATTCTCCTCAAAATTGAATCAAACAGTTGCAAGACTGTTTCAGAAATGGAGTTGAAAGGCAAAACGCTGATGACAACAGCTGAGGGAGGAACACATTTCAGCAAAACAACTGTAAAAAGTTTAGCATGGAAAGCATTGTTTAATGTTATCTTTCATGATACATTTGTAAGGATGTGATGTTTTGCAGAATCAGCCTGGAATTATGCCTACAAAAATTATTCTGTAAAATAGTAACGCGTTAGGTAGTCATAAGATTTCATGTTTTTTTTTCTTTTAATCAAACATTTAATTTGAAAAATATTTATCATCATAAGGCTCCATTTTGTTGTTTTTTTTTTAATCAAGTATTTGATTTTTAAAAAATCATATCAACCTACGATGATACATAATCAAACCATCTTCCAAGGTCATCATCACCTGTCAAGGTTATGTAGCCATCATTTCAAGGTCATTTATAAGTTTTACGTAAGTACATTACTGAATGCTACTAGAAAAAAAACAACACGAAATGTAAACATGATCATAATCCACACTGAGAATTACATAAAACTAGGGCAACATTTCTCAATAAATCTCTCGTTATTTAACGACTTCGTTAATATATGTGAAAGTGATATTGAAGGACTTTGCAAGGTCTGTCTCACCTGTTTTGATAAAACCTTTGATAAATTCAGCCTTGTATGAAAACAAAAACAAGACAGCCAGCAGAGAGGCACACTTACTTGCCATGTTTATGCCAGTAGTCTGTTGGAAGATCTTACCACCAAACTACACTAGATGTTGTCAACCATGCTTTACAGTCAGCTGTCAAGGTCATAATCTATCTTTCAAGGTCACAAAATACTTAACTCAAGGTTAAGCAAATTCTGAAAGTTTTTTTTGTGTCATAAAGGAAGGATGGGTGGTTTGACTGCAGGGAGTGCATGTTAATTACTATTATCACAATCTGTAGCAAACTGTAAATTATATAAAACACAACACATTTTCAAATATTTCCAGTTGGTGATTTGAAACAAAAATGTAAGCAGTGAAGAGATTGTTGTAGCTCATTCAAGGTTGAGGATGGAAGAGGGATCAGTTCAAACGTCCATTCCTGACAAGTCATTACCGTTAAAGTCATCGTGGATAAAGCAGATTAGCAATGCATTATTTTGGTAATTTCTAAGGTAACTCGACCGGCATTAAAATTCATTGCCTTGAGTTAGGAGTAAGTTTGAACGTATAAGTAGCATTTCAACTCTGACAAATGTGAAAATAAAACCTGGAATAATGATGCTTACGTAGAAATTTCAGACAATTTTTGCCATTTCGAAGTTGAGTTGATTATCTCCGCCTCATCTATAAATGTAAACTGTAAGTTGTAGTAAGTAACAAAGAAAATGAAAATACCCTATACACAGCTTACAAAATCTTAAATGTTCCTCACCTCTTTTTCAGGAGAGTTATTTCATTCGCGATTCAAAACATATGTCAAGAATATAAGAACAACATTGAAAAGTGTTGAGAACACATTGTACATATTACATGAATTAAGATCATTCACATTTTAAGTTTTTTATGTTACAAAAAAAGGGGAAATGTTTTTTTTTTTTTTTTGAAGTTTGAAGATTCAGGAATTTTGATGCCCCAGTGTTTGAATGTCTGTTTGAATTTTAGAAATGTTGATGTGTGTGATTATCGAAATGTATGTTAAAGATTAAAAAAAAAGTGTTGAGATATTCTGTAAAGTGTTAGTAAAATTTGAAGTCCATGAGATCCTCCATTTATAGGTTGTAGTTGTGGTGTTGTTATACCCTCTCTATCTTCAGTCCCGCTGGTGTCCCATTAAGAATCAATGTTATATCAGAACTGGTTCTGATTTATCTCATAGTATCATAACATCGAGTTCTACACCTTTTAAGGAGGTCATCGGTCATGGTTAAAAGGTCAAGGGTCAACTTTGACAACTTCTGCATATTCATCAAACAAAAAATACATATATGTGAGATAGCGATATCATTAATATAAATACTTTATTTATTTCACAACATTCGTGATACAAGCTATCAGTAGCTGTCTGGTCGGTGACCATGATGCATTTTCCACTTCCACACGGGGAATCAAACCTTGGATGTGGAGGAGGGAGTTGGATGGGTTACCTTGTTACCAAGCAACCACCCAGAAATCATTATTAAAAGATAATGCTGTTTCCTGGATATTAAAAGTTAAAAAATATATTATATTTGTGTCCTAGTTAGTGTATTAAATGATACATTTAGCTGAAATAGTCTGTTAATGACGTAAAATCTTTGCTCTTTACCTAGTCCCTTGATTAATGTCCCCATTTAGACCAGATCTATAACCTTTGACCTTGGTATAACAGCTATGACAAGTTGTATTTTTAGGGACAAAAACCATGACATTTAACTTAGCTAAAACAGTATGTGCCTTCGTATTTTATAGGATACTAACACATGACCTTTGACCTAGATATAACAGTTTTGTGTTGTAATTTTAGTGACCTGACACATGACCTTTGACCTAGATATAACAGCTTTGTGTAGTCCTGACCCATGACCTTTGTTCTTGGTATGATTTATTTTGAGAGTTATGTACCTTATATTTCTAGGGACCAGAAACATGTTGATTGGGTGAAGAGCTGGAATGCAATATTCAAAGAACTTCAGAGTTATATCAAGGCTAATCATACAACAGGGGTAGCCTGGAATTCTAGGGTAAGTAAACCTGAGTTATCATATCTACCCAAACAGCCAAGATCTTAGGGATGTGGCTTGATCCTTACCCAGAGTGCTTTGTGATTTCTGTAAATCCAATTGCTTTAGATGGCATGTGGCAGACATCCAGCATTGTATTCACTGATGAATCCATCGGCTACAACAAGAATTCCCTGAACAAACTCCCATCTGTCATCAATAGCCAACATAAAAACTGTAGCATTCTACTACAAAAAGAAATTCTACTACAAAAAAATATATTTTTCAGGATTCATGTCATGTCTGGCTGTCCCCTGGGATTGTATCAGGATCAGTAGTGTGTTATAAAATCAGTAAAAAGATATAAGTAAACGCAGTTATACTTTTTTTTGTCACTCATGTCATGTTTGTTGGTGGTCTGTAAGAAAAAGTAAAATTACAGACGGGTAGTAGAGTCAACGCCATGTACTATTAAATGATGGGTAAGTTGGTCCCAGTCCTCCGGCCTGGCAATGCTATGTAATATTGAATGATGGGTAGATTGGTCCCAGTACTCCGGCCTGGCAATGCCATGTACTATTGAATGACGGGTAGATTGGTCCCAGTACTCCGGCCTGGCAATGCCATGTACTATTGAATGACGGGTAGATTGGTCCCAGTACTCCGGCCTGGCAATGCTATGTACTATTAAATGACGGGTAGATTGGTCCCAGTCCTCCGGCCTGGCAACGCCATGTACTATTGAATGACGGGTAGATTGGTCCCAGTCCTACGGCCTGGCAATGCCATGTACTATTAAATGACAGGTAGATTGGTCCCAATCCTCCGGCTTTGCAACGCCATGTACTATTGAATTACGGGTAGATTGGTCCCAGCCCTACGGCCTGGCAACGCCATGTACTATTAAATGACGGGTGGATTGGTCCCAGTCCTGCGGCCTGGATACCTAAGTATATACATGAGATTGACGTGATAGGGTGAACTAAGATCCAGAGGATCAACCACAATGAGTTACAAGTGGTTTCTAGTAATTAATATAATTACTTTCTTAACAAACCTACTGTATGAACACCATGAAATGTAAAAACATTTGAAAACGGAAACCCACCAATATATATTCTGGAAAGAGATGTCATTATAACAAATTACTTATAGAATACCAGGCATCATTTCGTTATTTATCTGTAGATTACTATAGAGCATGTCATATTAAGCTTTTACTCTGACATGACTGTCGACAAGCGTTATTCAATGGTTGTGTTTATTCAGAGAAAATTCTTATACCTAATTCAATCAGGGACACGATTAGATTTCTGGCGATAAGACAATCTGTGAAAGGCTACCTACACAAAACATCAACTTTAGCCAAAACTCAAAGATTCCAACCAAATTCCCAAATGGTACTTTCTTTTTGTAATTTTGAGCTGCATACCACTGTCATCAGAAAATATTTACAATATAAATTTGATATTGAAACAATGAGATCTAATATAATGACGTTTTATTTTTAATCAAGAGACACACACTTTTTCATATCCAACAAAGATTTCAGTATTTACAGAAAACAAATTTGAAAATATTCAATCGTTTATTGTCCCACGAACAGCTTAAGTAATTTTGTGGTGCAGTCTCCTTGTAATAGCTGATTGCTACCTGACTGATCAACATATGGACGGACGACATATCACAGGTCATCCAGAGCTATGAAGTAGGGTCAGGTGTCTTCCAAAAGGACATAACTACATCAGCACTGACTGGTTTATGTCCCAGCCTCCTGAGAACACAGACTGCCACGGTTAGGGAGGATGGCACCTCGCACCTCAGATCTTCTCCAGAGGTTACCAAGGTCACTGACCTGATTTTCTGATCTATCACAACCCTACAATTGTGGAATAAGAGATCTTGTTTCAGATGAAAAAATATTTAACAATGAACAAGATGCATAAATATTTATGCAAATTTGTTGGTTGTCCAGACACTGTATAAATTTCATTGGGCACATCTTTTTCAATTATATTCAATTTTAACTTTTTAATACAGACTTGGATATAAATAACGGTATGCTCTTGTTTTTCTAAAAAAAAAAATTAAACCATAATTTTCTTTAATTTAACCTTGCAGTTAAAATGTTTCTTAGGAATCTGTGTGTCTCTAGGATCAGTGTGTTCTCGAAGGCCACATTTTGTTTATCATGTAAGGATAAGTTTGACAAGCTTGAATAATAATTATCAGTATTATAGTGAGTTAATGAACCTGTTGTTAATTGGAAACAGTCTCTCTTATACCAGAGAGTACTCTCTCACAATAGGGTGTTTGGTTTCAAAGAGAGAAAATCTCTTTACTGTTACCACGGCAGAAATATTCTGTAATCACCTTTTATAAATGTTAATATATAAAGCTAAATTAATGTCCCTACACAAAGCCAACCTGTTTTCATTGTCATCTTTATTTCAAAGTGAAAAGAATTTCATTTGATATCGGTTTCAGAAGATTCCTTCGACCTTGTCTATCTCCCATAATATTGTTATATTATGTTGATTGTAAACCAAAGTCAGACCTGTTAGTGAAAGTCCTTGGCTTTTCAAAGAGTATCAGTCTTTTGACTTTGGGTTTGATACTCCTCCATGACATTTGTAAATTATCCGTCCAGTTTTTATTAACAGCCATAAAATATATTAACCTTGCATCCCCTTTTGTCAAATATAGATTTGCCTGACAAAAAAAAATTGCAGTAAAGTAGAGTCCATTTCTGTCTGCAGGGGTTTTCAGGTCCTAGCACATAAGATTGAACTCCAGGACTTTTAAAGCAAACCGTGGCTTCTGTTGGAATGATATCAAAAGGTGTCACCAGTAGTTTGTATTAATTAATGAAATTTGTATAGCTGTGATGGAGTTCTTACATATTGATGGCTTTACATCAGCACAATCTAGAGATACATGTGTTCATGTAACAGGATAGCTTTGTCTATGAAATTTGACAACAAAGAGCCATACTTTTATGTATTGTGTCTGTGTTGTAACAGGACAGCATCTAGAGAGAAACAGAAGTGGTGTGCCATGACAGCTCACTGAGAGGTACCACTACAGAATAATATTGTCCTGACAACTTTAAAAAGATTCATACAAACATTTCAGGGAATTTGGATATTAAAGTTTAAAGACATTCCGAGTACAATTTGTAATTTAAGTTTAGCTACCCGCAGTCCTGAGAAACACTTTGCAGTCTGACGACCCAGTGGCTAGTTTAATAATCTATAACCCTCTACATGATTTACATCTTCCTTTCCTAATATGGTAGAAAAAAAAATCAGATTTAATTTAATTGGATGTTATGTGTTACTTTCGATCAATATGAGCTAGCTGGCATGACATGCTGGTTGTTATGACAATTCAGTACGAAGATAAAGGGCCTGTCGAATTCAGTTTTTCTGAAAACAGAAACCTGGACCTCAACTTGGAACAGATTGGTGGGGCCAAACTGAGAAGAGAGGTTGGAATCTTGCTTGAAAGAGAGGGATAGGTTCCTATTGGAAACGGACCCTGTTAGGACCCTGCTGCATTCTTTGCTGGGAATAGAAGGGTGGGGTCATGCTGAAAAAAGGATAGAGGGGCTCGTGGGAGTGGGGGGAGGGGGTGGGGCCTACAGGGAACAAAGACCCTGCTGGAAAAAGAAGGGTGTGTCCTTTCTGGGAATACATGGATGGGATGCCACTGGAAAAAGAGGGGTGTGGCCCTGCTGGTAAACAAGACAAAAATGTGACCCAGATAATTTTGGGGGGAAAATGAGAAAATCAGAGTTGAATGGTTTTCCAGCCATGGTAAAAGTGTTTGCAAATATAATGACTACCATAAAGTTTAGATAGCCACAGAGCTGGATCAAAGTAGCTGAGATTTTCTTCTTTAAAGAACTTCACTGGTTTTATGGGTTTTTGAGAAATTCTGCTTGTGTTTTAAATAATTTAAATAGAGGGAAAAGTCTGTAGTGCGAATACTAATTGAGATTTAACACCTAATAAGTGTCATTTTCAGCCATTTTGGTTTGTTCAAAAATGTATGGAAGATGAAAATTCAACTATTAGTGTAGAATTATTGCATGGTTTGTTGGCTTTTTAACGTGTGGGAGGCTTTACCAGGTGTTAAGATGTTCACCATCGCTAACACTGACAGACACTCTACAAAACGCCACTTCTCAAAGAAATTTTGAAAGACCAGGCCAGAAGTATTCTGACAAATTAGCAAATTTTCACTCTGAAGTTAAAAAGTTGATGGATGTGGAGATGTTTGGAGTTGCTGATAAACTGCACAGTGAGATCTGTGAAGGCAAAGCTCTGTGTCTGTACAATAGTCGGCAGGACTACATAGCAAAAACAGTCCAGAATATTTGGAAAAAGGCATTGTTCAGTTTGGATTTAGTGATAACAATGATGTATTATACGTGTGTCTTTGTTGTGTAGGAGTCAGATTTTATATCAAAACAACAAATGTAAATAAAGTTCCAAGAATTGTTGGGATTCAAGAAAAATTGTGACTGCATTCTCAAATATTCATATTTTGAATTCTTTTTAAAAGTGAGGTGAATGTTGAAAAATAAAAATATGATGGGAATGGGTCAGGTGTACTTTCTATGGCTGCAAACTCAATGTTTAAGGTGTAGAAATAAATGAAATGTATGAAAGTTTAAGAATGAAAATTTGAATTTATTATAAATTATTATTCTTTTCCTTAAAATGGTGTTTTGTTTGTATTGTGGGATTTTTATGGCTGTTTTGAGCCTGTGGTATATATACACTAGTTAATACAAGCTGTTACAGTTGTTTCAGTCCAAAAGGCACTTTACCCTAATTGATCTGGGTGACATGTGATGGTTCTCAATTCGGTTGTCATTTAGAGGTGGGGTCTCCTTGTAGTAGCCGGTGGTTACCTCACTAAACAACAGATGGGAGGCCCAACGCGTGCCATCCAGGTATACCAGCTTCCCCAAAGACAAAAACAAGATATGCAGATTAGTTTGCTTTTTAAGT